AAGTTGAGCCTAGCATGGTGCATTTTAAGGATGAAGAGTGATGTAACAGTTATATACCAAAGTAAAAGTCGGATTTATAACTACTTATCAAGCCATAATAATCCACTGGACCTATACAAAGAAACTAAGTCAAAACATGAAATCAAGAGAAAGTTGTTCTGCCAATTAAATGAATGATCAAATCATTACGCTGTTAACTGAGCAAAAATTCAATAGTCAATCAACGGACTGGGGTTCTCCAATAAACGAGACATGCTAAAAGGGTCCCTCTTCAACTTCAGTATATGTCACCCTTATGATTCAAACCATTTGGAGGCAAGTGCTTTCCAGTTCTTACCCTACAGACTCTATAACACTTTTGCCTTTGTTTTGTACCCCCAATACGGCTGCAGCAGTCGATACCCCCAGAGGAATGAATAATCACCATACTTAGCCATACATTGACTGACGTCAAATTGTGCCATCAGGATCGACACAATTCCCTCCGAATAGGTCGATCCCTTACTCCGATCAACGATCCAAAACCTATTTCTCCCAGCACATTCAACTGACCCTTCTCCTTAAGGTGTTTAATTAATAAATTCACCCTTTTATGCTGCACCTTGTCGAAACTTCCTACATTTTTAACAATATATAATGTTATAGTTCTTATATATTTTGTATCAACGTATTTACAAGTTTAATGATACCTTATTTTCATGTGCTTTCCTCCGTTCTTTGTATTCTTTACTATATTCCTTGACTGTGTGATGTAGGTTCCTTTCAGCATCACTCATTGAATTCCATTTGGACCTCACATCTTTTTCACCTAATATTAAACATAAACGTTTCTTAATCAATACATTAACACTAAATACTATACTACTCAATGTCAATTTCATTTTACATACCGAACCGCTCTGTGTGCCATCTCCCTTCATCCTTTTGCATTCGGCCATACTGTTAACATTTAAAATTTGTAATCAATTTAAAGTTATCGATACTTTAATCCAATTACCATTTCAACAATAATAACAAAAAGACATTGATACTTACTAGAAGTACATATATCCACCCTTTGGTTGCTTTCGAGTCTCGGCCTCAATTTCAAAGTCATCTGCTCCAAAATTTTCCAACCCATTGACTCCATTTTTCCTTCATATATCAGTTTACGCAAATCAAATTATTTTGTTACATACACTTTTCAATATACAAATATAGATAACTACTCTTGTGGTAAAACGGTTTTCTTCAAAAGAATTTGAATGGCCCACCAAAATGTGTCGGCACATTTATAACCTATAATATCATTTTCTACCTATAATATTAATAAAAGTATCGACATTTATATTTTCCTTGAATATCTATTTCTACCTGCAATCGGTCCCAAATGCTTCCTTACTCCAAAACCCCAAACAACACATAAAAAAACCCTATCGCGATTACTGTAATAATAAAAATTAGGGTTTCGACAACATACTTTTCGATTCGACTGCAGCAACAAACAAACAAACTTCGCTTTAGAAACGCCTTCTGAAATGCAGCAACAATTACTCTTCGATTTCAAAAACTCGTCCGTTCTATCTTTTTTCAGAGGATATTAGCTATGGCCTTTATATTTTCATCGGATATGTTATTTATATTTAATCGATACAAATACAAAAGTGTCGATACTTTATGTCAGGTGTCGATACTTTCGAAAGGATAATTACCTATTCTTTGAAAGTGTCGATAATTTATTACACGTACTACGAAAGTGTCGACACTTTCAATATATCGGTATCATTTTACCGGTTTTATCATTTATTACCGGTTTTATCATTTTTACCTGTTATCTCGTTGTGGATCGATATTTTTTAAAGTATCGACACATTATAGGCGCTATAACTGCTTCTCTTTTAAATTCACAAAGTGTCGATCCTTATATAACGTATCGACACTTTTAAATTTACCGGTTTTATCATTTTGTTACCGGTTTTATCATTTTTACCTGGTATATCTTTTTGGATCGATATATTTTTTAAAAGTATCGACACTTTTTAGGATTTAAAACTGCTTTTAAAGTTATGTAATTTATGTTTCAATTTATTTAATAGTGTTCATGTTTCCACCTACAATATTAATTTAATAATTTAATTTACACAAAATTTTATTTGATTGTTTGATATTTTATAAAATATTATTTAGAATTTAAATTTAACAATATTAACCAAATATAATAATAAATATGTTTTCAACAGTGAAATAAGTATGGACACTTTTATAAAAATGATATATACTTTTTTGAAAGTTATGTAATTTATGTTTCAATTTTTTAATAGTGTTTCATGTTTCCACCTACATATTAATTTAATAATTTCATTTACACAAAAAATTATTTGATTGTTTTGATATTTTATAAATATTATTTAGATTTTAAATTTAACAATATTAACTAAAGATAATAATAAATATATTTTCACAGTGAAATAAGTATGGATACTTTTATAAAAAGGATAGATAATTTACAATATAACAGGTAAAAATATGACAAAACCAGATTCATTATGACAAAACCGGTAAAATTTACTTGATATGTTAAACGTATGGACACTTTTATAAAAAGGATAGATACTTACCGATAACCAAAGTTTACGGTTACCAAATTTTTTAATAGTTTTTCATATTTCTACCTAAAACATTATTAGTTGTCAACATAGGTACCGCTAAACCGAATTTATTAAATACATTTTAATGTATCCGGTAATGCTGTATATAGCCGTATATTAACCCGCCTTTCCTGAGACATTCCCATACAATTAAAGCAGAGTTTAACATTAAGGGTATTTGTGTTATTTTAAAAAAATATTGGACTTTCAGTTAAATACCACTTATTAAAAAGTTATTTCTTAAATTAAAATATATTTTAAATTAACTTTTTAATTAATATGTTTTTTTATCACCTTAGGTAAATTAAGATCGTATTATTTTTGAAATGTGCTTTACATGAAAAGTGCATTTATCTTATGTGCCATTTTAATTAATAATTTGAAAAATATTGTTGACTGAATACATCTTAAAGAATTATATTATAAAAAATAGATTAAAAATTGTTATAATATTAATAATTAATTAAAATGAAAAAAATATATATCATCAATGATTTCTTCGTGATCATTATAATAGGGTGGTCGATTTTTTTATGTGAATTTTTTTATATTAATTGCTCTTCGGTAGAATCTCATTATCATTGTTTTATCAGTATTATATCCAATATTATTGGCATCAGCATGTTGTCGTCATTGACAACGACGAATGATATGTGAAAATTGATGAATGTAGGGATGTGCACTTTCAAACGTAGAATATTATCCGATTCAAAATTTTATATTTAAATAAATAAATATATTTTAACTCATAATAAAACAATATTTCTTTTATCCAACACCTCAAAATCTCAAACCTAGTCCCTAAACCCTACCTCGACCTTAAACTTTAAATCTCATATCATAAACTTTAAACCTCATATCATAAACCATGAATCCTAAAACTTAAATCTTAATTTTTAAACCCTAAAATGTAACCATAAAAGAAAAAAATTGTTTAATTGTTCACACATAATAAATAATTAAACATTTTAATTTTAAGGTAGACTATATCAGTCATCACCTGATTATAACTCCTTTCGGTTTTGACCACTATTTTTTATTTTTTGTCAATCAGGTCATCTAAATATTTAAATACATGCAATCAGACCACTTGCCATTAACGTTTAACAGAAATGCTGACAGTTAATAAAATTAGTATAATTATATATTATTTGATCTTCAATATTTATATATTATTTAAATTTAGTCATAATTTTAATTCAATTAAATAAATTTAATTTCCACTTAGATGGTGACATGTGTCACTTCTAGATTAAGGGATATTTATTATTTTAAATGTTTAATTTATTTCATTTTGTATCAAATCTAAAACTCCTAATCCCAAAATTTCAAATCCTAAATTCTAAATTTTGAACTTTAAACCTCAAGTCATAAACCATGAACTCTAAAGCTTAAATCTTAAATTCTAAACACTAAATTGTAAGCCTAAAAAGAAAAAATATTGTTTAATTATTCACACATATTAAATAATTAAACATTTTAATTTTTAGGGTAGACTATACTAGTGATCGCCTGACTATAACTCCTTCTCATTTTAATCATCATTTTTGAATTTTTGTCAATCAAATCATCTAACTATTTAAATACATTCAATCAGATCACTTGCGTTAACATTTAATAAAAATACTGATGCGACAATTAATAAAATTAGTATAATTACATATTTAATCTTCAATATTTATACATTCTTTCAATTTAGTTATAATTTTAATTCAACTACATAAATTTAATCTCCACTTAGGTGGTGACACATGTCACTTTCAAATTAAGGGATATTTTATTGATTTTAATTGTTTAATATATTTTATTTTGTATCCAAATCAGATGGTGACACATGTCAACACCTTATTTGCTACAAGACATTTGGAAGAAATAATTTGCAACCATAAGGGATCAAACCACTTTCCTAACACACACCTGGGAGTGCCTGAACCGATAGATTAAGCCCGTAACTTACTATTATTTTACAACATTTTAGTATTTTGTTCCAGCCAAAAACAAGAAAAACAAATTGAAAGAAAAAGAAGCAATTAAAAAGTATTGAAAATAGGCATTCAACTATGTTTTGAAGCACTCCTACCACCACATCAACACTTAAATTTGGATTATATGAAAAGTGAAAATGAGGTAATTGGTTTGACTAACTGGATTGGATGTGGTGATACTACTGGAGGAGGAGCACCAGTCTATATGTATCATGTCCAATAGTACTGATGTACAATATTCTTGTGTCGACAATTCCATATATATTTCACACATGATCCTTGCCGGGTTTGGTAACCCAAAAAATTCAACATCAAATAATCACTAAAGCATAATTTTTAAAATAAATAAAAACAATCATAAAACAGCCAGGAGATGGTCATTAATAATGGGAAGCTGCTTATCATGAAGGCCACGTCGTTTTCTCAATCATGCAGGAAGGGGTTCTTCCATAACTGCATTGGAAAAGAAAATTTCAATCATGCAGAGAGTGCATGGCATTTTCGAGTATGTCAGCATGTGTAGAGCACTTGTGTCAGTATGTGAATGTGTGTATATATATATACATACATATAATAGAGAGATACCTCTTCTTTTTGTGGAAATATCCTCTGATGCAATTTCAGCATCGTCTCTAGCCGCATCAGCAGCGACTGGCTTCTTGGTCGGCACATCGGGAAGATTCAACTTTTGCTCCTCAGATTCAGCTCTAGTAGGCACTTCTGGCATGTCTTGAACGGCCATCTAACCAACACACAATTTTCCATTCAAACAGAAAATGGTTGAGAGAACAATGCCATATGTCAATAAACAAAACTTAATCCCAAATGACACGTTAAACAAAAGACCTTTTACATGCTCACACGCCACCAAGGACTTCTAATCATTTCAAAGAATCCAATCGAAAGGAAGAAATATCCCAAGCTTAATATATGCAAAGTAATCTAATTCCAAACTTCATTTTACCATTTTTTTCTCTTCTTCCCCATAACTCCTCTATGCATTCACTTGACATACTTACAAATTTTTCCTTCCATTTCCATATTACTATAAGAAGAATCAATAGGAAACTAGATAAGGGAATTGCCGGAAGGAGAACAAATAGTAGATAGTAGAAGCCATTGATCATATTAGCTTTCACATGGCTGAAACTTCCAGCCAATTGGCAATATCTTTCAAGATATTGGATCAGCCATAAATACTATCTTCTCAGAGGTTCAATTCGGAGCTTACAAACCATCCCCAAAAGGTTATTTTAGTTGAAGTAAATAAAATTAACAAGCCTGGCTGTTTTTTCAACCAGCAGCAATTTGGAAAGAAAACAAAAGGAATTTAGGTTATCGCTTTTGTATGCTTTGGACGACTGTAGAGAGGGAAATAAGATGTCGCTTGAGGATTTTGAGAATGTAGAAACTAACGACTTGTAAAACAGGTTGCAATCTGTGAAGACTGAAGAGCATAAAACAGTATATTGGTATTTGGAGAGCAGCTTTCCCTAATCTAGGAGCTTTTGGATGCCAGCAGCACATAATTTTTCTTTTATTAATGCCAGCAGCACATAAAGTAGAAATAAATAGGGAAGTTAATTGAAAACAAGAGGCTAGTCAAAGCTGCTGAGTTTGCGCCCCTCATACTTGATGTATGGTAAAAAGTAAATGTGTGCGTACATACAACACGCATATGATTCATACTACTGTAGAAGTAATGTTGCACAAATACCTGAGTTTCCAAGTCCTCAAATTCTGCCAAAATTTCCTCTTCATCTTCTGCTGATAATTTCTCCCCCAAGATGGCATTAATTTCCTACAAAATTACAAATATGCATCCCATTTTAGATATAATAATGGAGAATAAGCAGAATGCCAATATGAAGAGGAAATGCTCATGTGATTTAATCGACTAATCAACAGGAAAAAGGAAAATGCAAGTGATTCTTCTAAAAACGAGAGAACATGTCTTATTCTCCATCAAGGATAATAGATTAAAATGCAGTGATTCATATGCAAGATCTTACGGCAAGCTAAACATCTTAAGTGGACAAGTACTGGCAAAAAAATAAAAACATAAAGGAGAGCAAGGGAGACAACAAACAAAAGAGATCTACATGAAGGATCGTAGTTCATTTTCGACAGAGAACTCAAGCAAATAAGCAAGGGAAGAATGACTTAATAGGAACCAAAATTAGTAAAAATTGAAATGAAGCTCACATCTTGGTAAGCTTTAGCTTCTTCAGTATCGTCCATTAACTTCTGGAAATCATCTATGTTGATTTCACTCTGTATCGCCTTAATTGCATTGTTACCTGCTTTCAAGCTATCAAAGACTGCTTTTTGCTAGTTCAATATCTGCCAAATGGGAGAAGAATTAGTGTTTAAAATCTATCTATTAACTTTCCAACAGTAAGGCTAGAAACCAAAAGTAAGGTAACAGAGCGGTCCCCATGTCAACACTAGCTTTGTAATAATACATTGTAAAGGATCGACTTCATATTTGATAAATCCAATTACACTATTGCCTAATAAAACATTATAGCATTAAATTAAACAATGTAAAAACTGAAAGAACTTAAATTAGAAAAAAAATCTTCGATCAGAAACTAAATTAAAAACTATGAAAATTCAGTTTCTATTACTTGCTGCTCAACATTAATAAGCCACGTATCAACTTGCTTCAATAGATCTTCTTGAGCTTTCTTCTTTTTCAACGCTAACAGAGCTCTATCCTTTCTGTTTTCACGAATCAAATCTTTAGCAGCTTGCTTTTCGGCTTCTATAACAGCCTCAAGCTAACAAAGAGAAAAAATGTACACAAAAATGAAGTTATAAGTAAAATTACAGAAATTCACACAAAAAGAGGCAAAATGGAATTAACTTGTAAATATAAATTTTAAAAAAAGGCAGAGAAACCTGTTGCTGGTATTGACCAAGCTTGCGTCTCTGAGTCTTTAATGAGAGAATTGCTCGATCAACTTCGGTGATCTTGGGTTTCTTCGCCAATAAATTACCCATCTATTACTGATTCAATTAAAAAATATATATTCTCTCTACTCGGATTTTGTTCGGAAAAGAACCCAAATCTCCCCACCAGTCAGCCTTAGAGGCGTAGGTATTTCTGTTTTAGAAACCAATAACACATCAATAAGCAGCATGTTAAGATTCAGATAAACCATCTAAAGAATAAATTAGACAACAGAAGATGAACACATTACATCATGACTAAAAACTTATCAGTATAGGCTTAACATCGTTTACTAAAACAACAAATGAAAACAAAATAAGATCCAAAACAATATCAAGCATAGTTGTAAAAAGCGCGCCTGAGGCGCAAAAGCGCATAGGCTCACTGAACGAGGCTTTTTCAACACTGAAGCGAGGCACGTAGCTTAGGCGCACCTAAGCGCAGCGAGGCACTGAGGCGCGAGGCTCAGTCGAAGCACAATTGAGGCGTGATGAACTGAAAACCTTGTAATTATTATTGCAGGACTTCTCTCCTATGGGCCGACCCCCTAAAACCCTCAATCGACTGAAGATGATGAAATGGTAGCGTTGTATTGCCTTCTTTGAAAGGGATCAGGAGATCGGAACTCGAGAAAGGATCAGTCAAAACACACTTTTTTTCAGGTCTCCAATTGCACTGAGCATGAAATTCAATGGGAAAGTGAGAAACAGAAGAGCGAAAGCTTACCTGATTTAACGAAAGAATCTCCGGTCAGAGACTAAGAGAGAGAGAGAATGTTGCGATCGAAATAGGGACAGCTGAAGACATTAATTTTTCACTTTCATTAAAATTAAAATTATTAATTTTATTATTATTATTAATATATATTATTATTATTATATAAATAAATTACAAAACTGGAAGCCCGTTTACAAGCCCAAATCCCAGGCCCAACCAGAACCGACCCATACCCAAATGGAAACCCTAAACTAATTTAGGGTTTCAGCTAGGGTTTTTAAACCCTAGCTCCCAGCCGCTGCTTCCAGTGATCCCCAACCGCCTCCAAGATTCCAGAACAACCACGTGGCCGCCGCCGTTGCTTTCAGATGTTCCAGCTGCCGCCGCCCTCGCCAGAAGTCTCCAGAAGGCCAGCTGCTCCCCACATGTCACGACTATAGGGTGAGTCACCACATAGCTCGGTGACTCACCGAACTTCCCCCTCTAGACCTATCCGAGCATGGCTCGGTGGTGGCTATAAAAGCCACCGGATCCTGCAAAACAAAAGGGAGAGAGGACAGAAAACAGAAGAAAAAAAAAGAGACAGAGAAAGAGATACGAACAACCAGAGCAAGAACTACAGACACGAGAGCAAATCAACACCCAACAACAACCAAATAAAGAAGGAGAAGAGGAAAGGAGACTTACCAAGGGAACTTCCGTCATCAGAGCCTCCCTACGTCTTTAAAACCGAAAGGTCGAAGGTAAAGAACCTTAGATCTACATATTTTGGTAATGATCTAGGTTAAAATACCCTCGGATTTGGCTTTAGGGAAAGCAGGGCTTCGATTTAAGGTATATATGTAATTTTTCGGCCACCATTAACGGTGGCCGGCGGTGGAGACCGACACCGGAGTACGGTGTCCGGCGACTGCCGGAATTCCCTCTGGTTAGAGGAAGTTAGAGAGAGGCGAGAGAGTTTTATAAACTCTCTCAGTTAGAGAGAGACGAAGAAGAGAGGAAATGAGGGATGCTGGCCCTACGGGCCAGCCATTTGGTCTTATATACCCCTCCCAAACGACGCCGTTTTGGGTAGGGGTATATCTGTAATTTCGCGCACGGGTCAAACCACTCGCGTAGTCATCCTATCTTTGTAAATTTCTATTTTAGTCACTACAATCAACTTCTAATTATTTAAAATTTAGTCTTTACATTTTTTTATTTTATTTTAGTCCTTATCTGCATATATATTTATTTAGGGTAAATACCTAATTTAGTCCTTTACAGTTTAGTAAATATCATTTTAATCCGAATTAATTAAATAAGACTAAATTATATTATTATCACTTAGATCTTTTTATCATTCGAGTTAGAACCTTTAATTTTAATAATCATTATTTTAATCACCTATTAATAATTAGGGTTAATTACATCATTAGTAATTATATTTTTATAATACTATAAATAAGGGTGTAAATTTTAATTTTAATATTTTATTTATTTTAATATGTTTTAGTCCCTATTTAATTACAATTTAATTTGTATTATTATCATTTCAAATCCAATATGTTTAAATGATTACTTTAATTATTATTTTATTATTATCTTAGTCATATAAATATATATAATAAATAATATTTATTTATTTATTTTCTTTGTTTTCTATGAAATAAAAATCCTATTTATGAATTATATATATTTAATTTTTAATATTGAAGAAAAGAGTTATCTTAAAGTAACTAGAATCTCTTTTCTAATATTTTTAAATAAATAAATATCTTACTATATTAAAATAAATTTTTTGTTTTAGTTATTTATTTATATCGAAGAAAAGAGTTGTCTTAAAGCACCTAGAAGCTCTTTTCTGATATTTCTAAATAAATAAATATCTTATTTATATATATTAATATATTTTCTTAAAATTATAAATTTGAAATAAAAGGATTATGAATTAAATATATTTGAATTTTTTTATTTTCTAATAATAGAGACAATTTATAATTAAAAAGTACCAATTTTGGGCGTTGTAGGGGTGCTAATCCTTCCCTAAACGTAACCGACCACGAATCCCTTTTTATTGTTAAAAAGAACAATTTTTTTTGGTTAAAACGCAGATCAGTTCATCTTTTAACTAATGTTTTCTTAAAAACTCTTTTAAAAGATAATTTTTAGGTAATCGACCTACCTGACCCAAAAGGCCGATGGCGACTCCTAATTATTTAAAAAAACCATTTATTCACATCACTTTTTCCGCCAAGTATTTAAAATTTCGTGCCAGGACGAAAACCGTTTACGACAGCTTGGCGACTCCGCTGGGGATGATGTCAAACTTTAAAATCAATTGTAAATTGTCTCTATCAATTAGAAATTAAAAATTCATATATTTAATTTTTAATTCTTTTCTTTCAAATTTTTTATTACTTATTATTTTTATATATTATTATTTTTTTTTATTATATTCAAGAATTAATTATTTTATTTGTTTATTAGAGGTTTTAACATTTCTCCTCACACACAACACTTGTAACATAAAGCTCTATAATTGAGTTTGTCCCTTTTAAGTGGGAGTGAAAACGACGTCTTCGTGAGAATTTATTCTCCGTGTTAGACCTAGCAAGTAACTTTCGGGGTTCATATGCTCTATGTCTTCGTGAGAATTTATTCTCTGTGTCAGGCATAGAGAAATGTGTCCCCTCGAATTGAACTCGATCCGCTTAAGTCTGTAATGAATAGGATTGAGGGTTGACAGCCCAAGGGGGCATCAACAAGTACAGTTCGAGTACCTTTACTCCTAGAACTGAAAACCTGCATTTAATAAACCTTAGAACTTCTCCTGATCTAAGACAGTACTGAACCTCTGTCCTTAGGTGTACACAAAGGAGAAATAAGCTTTAGCTTTTAATTTTTTAAATTATTATTTTTTCTGAATAAATGCATGCGAACTAGAAAGCATGATGTTAAGATTTATACCTTGATAGATAGATTTTTTTCCATTAGTTGGTACTAACTATTCTATTTTTTTAATTTTATTTTTTTATTTTTTCATTCATGTTACATTGCTCTAATCTGTTCATATTGATTTCTTTTGTTTGCATTGCATGATCATGGCATAATCAAAAGGTGTTTACTTGAAAGACTGTTCATCATATTGGAAAGAAATCGTAAATGGACAAAAAGTTTTATGATCAAACAAAATATGATGCGGCCAAGAAAAGACATCCCGAGGGAACTCCAAGGATAGAAGAGAGCTATACACCTAGAGATCATGTGTCCATTAAGGAGCAAAAGGAGATACGAGAAATAAGAGAGCAGATGTCCAAGATGATGGATAGAATATCTGTTTTGGCCAAAAGAGAAGAGATTCCTGCACAGAAAGCGAGAAAGCTTAATGAAGATAATCCTGCAATTTCAGATATGCAAGGGACTTCTGATCCTAACCAATTTGAGAAGTTGCAGACAATCATCATTTGTATTCACAAATCGATGGAGATATTAAAGAAATGTTGACCACTGTAAAAGCTCCCAGAGATGAGAAGAAATCATGTAATCAGAAATCATCAAAGTTTGGTCTGCTCCCGACGTCTAAAACTCAGGGTGGTTCTCATTTTGATGCTATCCCCATATCATATAAAGAGTTGTATGAGAAGCTACTTGAAGCACGAGAAGTGGATCCATATTATATAAAACCGTTCCAACCTCCGTATCCAAATTGGTATGACATCAACGTTCATTGTGAATATCATGCCGGAGCTCAAGGACATACCATCGAGAATTGTCTTGCCTTCAAACGTCGAGTCCAAAGTTTTTTGGATCATGGAACCTTACAATTTATGGTAGATGATCGACCTAGTTTGGTAACCAAAGGTCCTGCTAGATTAATACCAAAAGTCTTCAAAGGTAAGAGTATCAGTAGGGGCGCCCAGAGAGAAGAAGATTTGCTGAGGTTTGAAGCTCAAATACGTCATTTAAAGATTGAAAACGATAAATTGAGCACCAAAATAGAAACCATACATGAAGATTTCTGGAAGGTCAGTCAAGCCTTTCAAAATGTTGGCATAGGAAACACCCCAGAAGAGTGGATAACAGGGGTCACCAAACTGAAAAAGAATTGCAATATAAATGAAGGACGAGCCAATAAGTTTTCTCATGATTTACGAGTTGCAGAAGAAATACTCAATACAACTTTCATGGAATCAAGAAAATATCAAGTCGACAATCAAAGGTTGAATAGTGCTATGACCAACATGGAAGCATCATATCAGATTCATCAGTTTGAGATCAATACTGAATTAAAAGCCACTATCGACAAGAACAAAACATTAAAGAAATGTTTAGATGATTATGAGATCTTGTATGAGAACTCTGTAACCATAAAGATTCCATTACAAGTGAAAATGAGCAACATTGCCTACAACGCCGAGAATTGACACAGGAGATGAAAGAACACCAGAATTTCATGGAAGAA